TCACGTGAATGCGCCGAGCAATTTGATCCAGATCATGCCACAAGAGATAGTGCCTCTGCTCTCGGTTCCAGATCTTCAAATTCAATGCCCTCAAATGAAGTCAAACTTGTAGCAAATTAATGGGGGGAAACACGAACGTCCATCTATTCACCCTGCCTACAGAGTATTGGAGGAAAGAAACAGCAGAGTTCTGTAAGATGCCAAATACGTTTACAGTAGATAAGCAAGTATTATGTTGGGATCGATAGTATTATCTTTTACAGTTGCTGGACTGGTTGGCTTAACAAACTTCATGTCGAGTGGCGAAAATCATGCAGCCTTGTTTTGGCACAAGTTGTGACCTATGACGTCTTATAAAAGTTTATACCTGAAAAGATTGACACAGGCTGCATTCGTATTAATGTCTTGCTTGCATGACATATGTTTTTTTTCTAGCTTGCAAAGTGTACTTGAGTTTGATAGCATCAGATGTCTATCAGTCTATGCCATTGTATTTTTCAGCTTGCATCTCTTTTTAAAGGGTTTGCCATGCATGACGAAGGGTTGAAGACTAAACAGTCAGTCTGTACAAATTTGCTTGCAAAGATAATTATCTATCAAACGGCTATGCTTCATGGAACGAAGATCAGAACAAAATAAATATATAAGAATAATTATTTAGTAGTAAAAACCCAATACAAGTGCCGGCTGGGGATTCTCTTTACTGGATGCTTGCTTCGATGCTTCTTGGGAATTTTGTTGGAATTCTCGAGTTTGATTTGGAGAAGCACAGCCTAGCTGTGATACAAGTGCCGGTACATATGCTTGAACAGAGCCAACACCGATTCTCGATTATGCGGGCAGAGGGTGATGGCCTTGGTTTACTCTTCTATATGGACCGCAGTTTCCAGTTATGGTAGAGGATGACTGATTATAATGGTGTTGCTTCATGGGGGCTGGGAAGAACTATTGGACTGGACAAGCTTTCCGTGAATCTAGAGGGGAATGACATAGTGATACTAGGGTTCGCTGAGGAAAATAATGTGGTGTTTGTACCACACGTGACATCCGCTTTATGGTCCATCTTGAGTCATCACAGTCACAGTGCCAGAAACTGATGGGAACCTATTCTCATTATCATCATCCATTCGAAAGTGTGTAAACTGCAGGTAATAGCATGCCTTCGATACTGCTTGTAACAAAATCAAGTTAATTTCCATAACGAGGAACAAGGAACATTTCAAATGACTCAATAAGCTAGGATGTTTGGGGTGTCTGCTACTTTCCGGAAATATTGTTATTTGAAGCACTAATCTTCTAGCCTTCACTGAGAACAGAATACAGATGCGGGCAAAACTTAGCAATATGCTAACACTAAGAGTCGAAGGCGTGGCAGTAAAAAACTATCCGTTATCCTGAAGGTGTTCTCTGTTTATAACGGTTGGTTTCATCCAATAATGCAGAGACGATTCAGTTTTGGAGCTTTTTGCGCAGTTTCTACAATACCAGCGAAGCTTACTGTTGTCTGAGTCGTCGATAAAACCTCAACGGCTTCTCCACTGATGAAATTGGTTGCTCCGCAGGTATCTAAGGATTGCATTCTGCAGGTGGCTCGCTGAGAGATGCAGAAATGGGCAGTGTGCTTGTGGTTTCATCTCTTCTGTACGCTGTGATCCACGTGGAAATCGACCCTCTGCAATGGTCAACTGTGAAGTCTGGCTCGTAGGACCTCGTCGCTTAATTTGCTGCCTTGGTGTCTGTTACCTAATCTCTCTACGCATTGGGCAACCGGAATGAAGTCACGGTGGCTTGCTTGGGTTAATGGTCTGTGTGTAATCGTTTTGCTTCTTCGGAGGAAGCAAGTTCGTTCACCTGTCAGCCATGCATGCAGTACTTATGGTCGAATCTATGCTTATTTCTTTTGTCCCATGTTGATGTTGTGTCAGGTTGAGATTTCAAATCTCTACCCGGTCCGTTCCTAGATATAAGATCTTTTAGAGATTTTCATATGAAGTACATACGGAGTAAAATGAGTGGATCTACACTCTAAAATATGTCTATATACATCCGTATGTAGTCTACATTGGAATCTCTTGTATTTAGGAATGGAGGGAGTAAATCTGTCTGCTTTATGTTTTGTCCTATGATGTTCCTTTTCCAATTTTGTATGTGCACGCACTGGGCGTTCATATTTGTGTCTGAAGAAGAGAGCGGGATAGCTTTGTTGGTGTAGAAGGGTACTTTCGTTGTGGAACTATATTCCTTAATTATATTTGTACTAAATATAGTTTTGAAGACCGCACCGTATGAAGCACTACTCCGAAAATCTTGCATGCTCGGTTCAGTTCTTATTTAACTTTGCACATTTTGTCTTTTGTCTTACTTATTTAACTGCTAGAAAGATTGCCCTATTTCTAGAAAAAATAGAGAATGTTTCTGTTGCAAAAAATATATAATATTGTGTTTTTGAAAAAAAAAACCGAGCGCACTGATTTCTTACATTAAAGCATCTTAGAATAAAATGCTCACGTTGTACAAGTGTGATCGAAAATGTATGCAGAAAAATAATATTGTGACAGTTTCCCCTATTTTTCATTTTTCGATGGTGGTCCTGTCCTACATTGTCATTTATACGCGTTGCGATATTTAGCCTAACAAGGGGACAACCTTTCAAAGAAAATATAAGGCAACTAAATCAAGTAATTTGTGCGGTTTAGCGGTGTTACCTGTTCTGCTCCATAGTTCTTGTCGTGGTTTTAGTTAAAATTTGAAATGGAGGCAGTAACTATCTAAGCTCTGCTCAACCGCATTGCATTCCTGTTTTTTCTTCTCGCTACAACCGGAGTTTGCGGCTGCCAGTGCCAGAGCTGACGCAACTGCTATAACACTCAAGAGACCTTGTGCAGATAAAACTAGAGCTAATAACTGTTACCACTCAAATCTGAAGAGCTCATTCCTTTCACAAAGTTAGCGTTAGGCACAAAGTGTTTCTTCGTAAACGCCTCCAGAGTAAAAAAGAAAGTTTAAGAAACTTAAAGCAAATGCAGTCAGCGATGTGTAGAGGCGAAATCCATGCTATTACTGCTACTTATGCAGGTGCAGTTCAACAAGCGGGAGCTGCCTCACTAAATACTGAAGCGGTTCAACATTCATTAGTCAGAACAAGCTTTCGAAAGACTGAGCTCAGAACCACAATGGGGCATCATGGAGCACGAGCAAAAATAGCGGCGAAACCTAACTGACTGATGCAACACACAAGATAACCAAGCGCGCGCACGCTTGCGCACACACCAATATGCAAGCAGGATGAGTTCACATGTGAGCTTGCTAAACATGCTTGCTTAGAACTCAGCAAATTGAAGGAAACACAAGTTAAGTACTGATTTTCGGAGCACGTCCATGTGCGTTCAGCCTTCATGCCAGTTCACGGGTGCCCATGGGAAACAGATGATAGACGGAAGTTACCAGATAGAGCAACTAATTCCTACAAGTCCACTTCACAGCTGACCGGTGCATGCTAGTCAATCTCCTGCTTGAACATACAAAATAGAAGAGCCTACACACCCAACAAGACATTTCTTCATTTCAGTCACCAGAATGTAACCTGCGGGGCAAGCAATATCATCAGTCAAATGATTTCACATCATTCTTCAAAGAAAAGATATTGGAGTTAATCTCATAAATATGCATGACACAAAACAGTAAACATTAGCTTCAACATTGCTGAATTTGTGTCAGAAGCCCCAAAGGAGATCACCTTAGCATCATTACTTTATTATTAGACAAAACCAACACTTGAATCATTTTTACGTACTCCGTATTACTTATTTTCACAGATTCGCATGAAATTGTTTCATCTTTATTTGTGCAGTCACATGACAATGCTGATCAATAGTTCAATACAGAAACAGAACATGCAACATTTCCATGCAGACCACCGGAGTAAAAGGAAAGTTTAAAAATCTTACAAGTAAAGGCAAGTCGGCGATGTGTAGAGGCGAAATCCATGCTAATGTTGCTTTGGCTTTGATTTACCCATGCCTGTCCTGATCATCTCAAAGAAAGTAAGATAGCACTGAAACAGCTATTTATGCAGGTGCAGTTCAACAAGCAGGAGCTGCCTCATTAAATACTGAAACGGTTCAACATTCATTAATCAGAACAAACTCTGAAAAGACTGAGCTCATAACCAGATGGAAATTCCATGCACACATACGCACAATGGGGGCATCATGGAACATAAGCAAAAAGAGCGTCGAAACCTAACTGCCTGATGCAACACACAAGATAACCAAAATCACGCACACTTGCGCACACACCAATATGCAAGCAGGATGAGTTCACATGTAAACTTGTTAAACATGCTTGCTTGGAAACCAGCAAATTAAAGGAACCACAAGTTAAGTACTAATTTTCAGAGCACACCAATGTACCTTGAACCTTCAAGCCTACATAGAGAGTCAATCTTCACTTTCGGACATACAAAATAGAAGAGCCTACACCCAACAAGACATTTCTTCATTTCAGTCACCAGGATGTAACCTGCGGGGCAAGCAATATCATCAGTCAAATGATTTTGCAACATTCTTCAAGGAAAAGCTATTGGAGTTATTCTCATAAATATGTATGACTCAAAACAGTAAGCATTAGCTTCACCATTGCTGAATTTGTGTCAGAAGCCCCAAAAGCGAATCATCTTAGCATCGTTACTCTATTAGACAAAACCAACACTTAAATCATATTTACATACTCCATATTACTTATTTTCACGGATTCGCATGAAATTGTTTCATCTTTGTTTGTGCAGTCACATGACAACGCTGATCAATATAGAAACAGAACATGCAACATTTCTCAGCCAGTAGCACGAACCATTAACTTTATGCGTTACAAATTAGGACAGTAAAGCACCATAATTCATAAATACAAACAGATAAGCTTGCCATTTGCAAATTTATTTATAGGAGAGAATCCCCAACAGTATAAACACTACTATGAGAAGAGGCTTACCGCTTTGTGGTTCATAGACTCGGTTTGGACAATGATGGTGGGAAGCCAAAGTATGAGTGAACAACATTGGGACGATCAAAGTGTGTTGTTACCCTACAGACCTTCTTAAGTTCTGCGGTCTTGACATCCAGAGAATAAAAATCGACGGGCAAGAACCCATATGAATCATCAACCCACTGAGCTCCTCGAAGGAATAAGAATCCCTCAGTTGCACCCACAGTAAAATAGAGTGATTCGGGAGGCAACGCTATAACCCTTTGTAGCTTCCACTCATTGGATGATTCGCCGTTGTTTTGTTGAGTGGTGTGATACAGCAAGGTAGAATGGTAATCACCGACAGGAGTAAACATCTCGAGCGCTCCTTTTGCACCACCAGCAATGGTATGACTGCATGGGTCCTGGCCAGGCTGATTTAGAAGCTGCATATGGTAGCCTGTGAGAATGTTCAGTGTGGAAAACTCCATTGTGCGTGTGTCCAGCACGAGAAACTTGTCTTGCCAGAGAGCTCCCCAGTAGAAGCAGCCACGCAAGTAGCTGAAGCTGGAAATGCCTTTCCAAGTGGGCTTAGCTGTGCCCAAAGAGCTCCAGCTGGGAGATGCAGCTACACACAATTGTCCGGTGACCGAAGAGAAGACAAATGTGACCAACTTGCTCTTGTAGCACGCCGTGCAGATCACCGAGAACGAGGTCTCATCCTCATCCTCGGCAGCGGGACCGAGCATGGGCCCGAATTCGACAAGGCGCTCTTGCTGGACGGCCATTTCCTCGGGTATGGACGGGAGCAGCACGTACCTCCGTGACACGGGATCGCACACGGCGAGGTTTGGGAAGGCTGCACCCGCGCCGAACAGGTAGCTGCGCTCGAGGAGGACGCGGCCGTCGCGGATGTCACGGTGGTACCAGGGGCTGAGCAGCTCCTGATGGGGCTGGGGCGCGGGAACGAAGGAGTAGGAGAAATCCGCGCCGTCGGCGAGGGCTCGGGCAAGCGGGGCGGAGGGATGAGGTTCCTGCGCGTGGTGGAAGGCGCGCTTGTCGACGGCGAACCCCAGGAGTGGCGGCGGATGGAGAGCGCGGATGCGGCGGAGGAAGGGGCGCTCGGTGATGATGCGGCGGAAACGGGGGCTGGCGGTGGAGGCGCGGGCGAGCGCGGCCGGCGTGGGCAGGCGAATGAAGATCTCCTCCAGGATCTCGTCGGCGAGGTGCCGCGCCGGCTCGGCCATGGCGGGCGGGCGGGCGGCCGATCGACGGCCGCCGGGGCGGAGAGGAATGGGGATTAGGGTTGGGGGAGTGAGCGCGGCTGTGATGCGGTGTGTGCTGTGCGAAGCAAGCGAGTGGGCAATGTAAAGGAGAAAAAATGTTTTAATGGTCTGGATAATTTCAATGTGAGTCGTCGTACTACGAATCTACGATTTTTTATTTTTTTTGTGAAATTACGAATCTACGAATTTAACTTGGCAAAGAAGAAGATTTCCACTAATTCGCCTTGCCCTTGCCCTTCCCCTTGTCATCTCTGGGGTCGGCAGTAGTACATGTGAAGACGAGATAAGAGTCATCGTTTCGAGGGGTCGTCCGAGTCAGAGGAGGTGGAGGAGGAGACCAACGAAGCGTTGGGCGACACACACTTGCTCCTAGGCGAGACGGTGGGGTTTGGCGGTGGCAGGCCCTCGATACCCTCCTGCAATGTATTCACATTCCTGCGGCAAGACGGCGGGCGTCCGTCTCGGTGCTTGTCAATGAGCGGGGCATTACATTGTGGAGCAGCCGCTCCTCATCGGACCCTGAGGGCACGACGATGGGAGCGAAGCGCGAGCTACCCCTCCAACATCCAACCACTTGAATGTGTTCTTCAAGTGCTTCACTTTGGCGGTGACCTTCTCCTTACTGTGGAATTGAACAGCCTTTAGCGCGTGCCTAAACATCCTTGATCCACGAGGCACACCGAGACTTTCAGCGCACGCTACCATCCCCCGGACGTGCTCCGGGTTGGCGCCGATCAGCCATGGCACAACGAGGCAGAGTTTTGTAATATCGGAAGCGCCTAGTCCGCACTCCCGTAGTAACACAATATTGGGCTTGACCACCCTCTCTAGATCGGACGGGAGAAGGCACTGTTGTTCTTGAGCGCCGGAGAAAGTTTTCGAAGGAGCCAAGGAGGTGCAGGTGGTACTGCAGTTTAGAGAAGACAAATTTGTGGCGGAAGTTGTGGGGTGCGACCGAAAGGATGCGCCCAATCTAAGAACATGATAGACTGAGGTCGGTGAGCTAGGTGACGTTGGGCGACAGGGTTCTCTCGACGCTGGCGCAGAGGCCGAGGCTGATGAGGAAGGCGAGGATGGCGTCGGTATTGGCGGGTGACTTGAGGTGGGAGAGCTTGGTAGAGGCCTTGAGGGTCGGCGCTCGGGTGAGGCCGCAGGTGTCGACGAGGTAGTCTTGGACGGTGAAACGGGGGCTTGGGGAGACGACGTGCACGGTCGTGAAGAGGAGGCGGTGGAGAGAGGGGAATGGATGAATGGTCGGAGAAGAGAGGAGGTGGGTGAGGACGCAACTTCGGAGGCGGAGCATGGAGCCGACGGCGAGAGAAAGTGAGAGAAATCGCCGCCTGATGACCCATAAGTACAGGATATCAATCGTAGTCCTTTCGACAAGTAAGAGTGTCGAACCCAACAAGGAGCAGAAGAAAATGACAATCGGTTTTTAGCAAGATAATTTCTGCAAGCATTGAAATTGTCGATAACAAGTAGTTTGATAGCAAGATAATTTGTAACAAGTAAGGATAATGGTAACAAAAGTGCAGCAAGGTAGCCCATAACAAAGGACAAGTCGAAACGGTCTCAATAATAAGCAAAATGTTCTTTAGGGCACACGGGAATTCCATGTAGTCACTTTCATCATGTTGGTTTGATTCACGTTCGCTACTTTGATAATTTGATATGTGGGTGGACCGGTGCTTGGGTGATGTTCTTACTTGAACATGCCTCCCACTTATGATTAACCCCCTCATAAGCAGCCGCAACTACGAAAGAAGAATTAAGATAACAATCTAACCATAGCAAAAGTGCGCATGCCCAAATTCCGCCTCGAAATGGCGGCGTTCCGTCACGAAAGTCCTCTCTTGATTTTTTTTTCTAGGTCAAAAGATCTAATATACCAAAAGATGGGCCCTAGAGGTGGGCCTGGGCCCCCACTATCCACCAGTGTTGGTTTTGTCTAATAAAGTAATGATGCTAAGATTATCGCCTTTGGGGCTTCTGACACAAATTCAGCAATGTTGAAGCTAATGTTTACTGTTTTGTGTCATACATATTTATGAGAATAACTCCAATATCTTTTCCTTGAAGAATGATGTGAAATCATTTGACTGATGATATTGCTTGCCTCGCAGGTTACATTCTGGTGACTGAAATGAAGAAATGTGTTGTCGGGTGTAGGTTCTTCTATTTTGTATGTTCGAGCCGGAGATTGTCTCTCTATGTAGGCTTGAAGGTGCAAGGTACATTGGTGTGCTCTGAAAATTAGTACTTAACTTGTGGTTCCTTTAGTTTGCTGCTTTCCAAGCAAGCATGTTTAGCAAGTTCACATTTGAACTCATCCTGCTTGCATATTGGTGTGTGCCCAAGCGTGCGTGCGCGTGCTTATCTTGTGTGTTGCATCAATCAGTTAGGTTGCGCCGCTATTTTTTCTTTGTGTTCCATGATGCCTCGTTGTAGTTCTGAGTTTAGTCTTTTGAAAGCTTGTTCTGGTTGATGAATGTTGAACCGCTTCAGTATTTAATGAGCCAGCTCCCGCTTGTTGAACTGCACCTGCATAAATATAATAATAGCATGGATTTCGCCTCTACACAGCACTGACTGACTTTGCTTTAAGTTTTTTAAACCTTTTGCTCTGGAGGTGTTTATGAAGAAACACTTTGTGCCTGACATCTCAACTCAAAAGATGTGTGAACAAAGTACTCATCTCGCGAGAGTTGTGCGACTAATGGTACATTTATCTCTTTCACTAAATCATACATGTAGGAGGTTGCCATCAATTGTGAAGACCTTTCCGTACAAAGATATCATGTGGAATTGATTCGTTATAAATGTTTTCAACAACTACGCCTCACACAACCAACAATTTATATAGGACCGCAAACTGATAGAGCGCATTCTTTGCATCCTTCATGAGTCATTCAACACCTTTCACTCATATACAAATTATCGACAGATGCAACACAAGAAATAGAAGGTGTGATCCCTGAATGGGTGTGTTCTCTCTGTGCTTCGGATTTTAGAGTGACCGGAGGTTCAACATCTTATCCTCCAGTTGTTACATTGAGGAAAAGGAAAACAAAAATAAAGGTCAACTTGAGAATAGTAGATGTCGGGAAGGGAACACTTTGTCTCCACTCTAACTCTCCACCTTCGTCCTCTCATCAAAGTGATAGAATGAGGCCTGACGAAACAGACAACCCAACTCCAACTGAGGCCTTGCCTTCAGAAATTGCACGATTTTAGAGTACTAAGCCACATCGAAATGTAGCCAACAACACACTGTCCTAGGAAATACATGGCACACAAAACTCGCCGAGCACATACTGTCTACAACACACTACAGCCTTGTAACTGGAAGCTAATCGGTACTGAAAATAATTCAGAAACATTTGTTTGGCATAGTCGCTGCATTGCAATCTCTCATAGGAAACATACTATTATTTTCCACTCTCAAAGAAGACTTGCAAAAAGATTAAGAGCAACATATCAAAATTATTGGTACTGGTAGTGTAGTGTTGTGGACAGTTTAATTTGGAAGACCTAGTTCAAGCCAAGATTGATGGATGTATAGAGAGCATAACGTTAGCAAGTGTGATTTACAGAAATATATATGCCTAAATAAATTACAAAAATGTGATTTACAGA